CATTTTGAAACATGTTACATATTCAATATCCTCAGACTCACCTCACTAGCCCCAGTGACCACACTAAGCTTGGGTGCCCGACTCTTTTTTTCTTAGGATGACTTCATTGCTGGGAGGCTCCTCAGCCAAAAATTGAGGAATAGTAGCTGGGATCACTCATAACCATGTTTATTTTAAAGATAGGAGCTAATTTCTCTCAAGTGGAAAAAGTCTGCAGGCAGGCGGTGCAGGGCTGATTGCGAAGCTCTGTGAGCACCCTCCAGAAATACTTGCAAATGGAATAGAAAGGTTTGCAAAAGGTTTGAGGTCCTATGACGGTTAGTGGGGGTCAGCACTGGAGAAAGTTTATTATCATTAACGTGACCTCTTTTCACCCTGAGGTTCAGGGGGCCCAGGAAAAGCATAGGTTACATTTTATTAAAGTCTCTTTAGAGATGAATATTTTTTTTTCACTGTGCAAAATTCATTTTACCAAAATACAGACCTGACATAGGCTAAAAGAGTTCTTTACAACTTCCTAAAGCTGTTGTAAATTGGATAATAGAGATTTGCCCAGAAGAAACAAACAATGTCTTATGTATAGACTGTGTAGGAGGTAATAAGTAGGTGATGGTTCTGACATGCAATTCTACTAGAAGTGGGGGAAAAAACACTCCAAGGACACATAATCTGCTACATTATAAAAGTAACAAAAATGGAGAGTGGGTGGCTAGCCAAGAAAGCAAATGTGTTTATTTAGAAGAGGCACTTGATAATAAAGGTACCCAATCCCATTTGAGAATTAAGACCTTGAATCCTCTCTTCTGAAGAAACATTAAATAAACAGAGTTTGACCTTTCTCTAGTCATTTTATACAGTACAGTGAAGAGCTGCACAAATCCATTAATTCATACATTCATTACATCGAGCATTACTTGGTCATCTACTATATTCTAGGAATTATGTGCCATATGAAAGCAGAGAGAATTCAAAGATGAATAAAATATAATTCATGTCCCTGAAGATATCAAGATCTATTGAGTGAGGAGAGAGAAAGAAAGACAAATAAATAAATCATTGTAATATCATGTAATAAATGAATCTAAGTGACTATGTGGGAACAAGAGTCACAAGTCTTATAGGGAGCATGTGATGTGGGGATATGTTATCTTTGACTTGGTTATGAACAAAAAAGACTTTATTAAAGACACAAGTCAGGTAGGGCATTGCATATTAGGCCTTGAGAAATTATGGAGAACATTACTTTGGGAATATGAGAAAGAGTTTTGGTGTGGCTGGAGTAACAGGGGAATGACTGGGGATTGGGTAAGATGAGGCCAGAAGGACAGGTAGGGCCAGGTTGCAGAGGATTGTGTGCCATGCTGAGGAATTGGACTCATGCTTTTAGTAGTGGAGACTCTTTGAAGGGTTTTAAGCAGCAGAGTGAGATGATCAAATTGGCTTAGTTTGACAAGCGTTCAATCAACACTTACTGAGTTCCTGTTTGGTGTTGAGTACTGTTCTAGGGATTAAAAGAAGAGCACACCTCAGGGAACTCCTAGTCCATGGCAGAGGCAAACATAAACATGCTGGGGTAGTGGTCGACACAGAATGTGTTGGGCTTAGCTCAGCCTGGGGGATCAGAAGAGGTTCTAAGAGGCCCTAAACTGAGTATTGAAGGACTCATGCAACTAATATTTAGGATAGCACAACTAGGCGGACATTTATTCAGTAAGAGAGGTTTGAGAGGGGGAGAAGCCAGAATCCAACATGTCAACATGTTTTCCTTCTTGGTTATGCAGGGAGCATACACACAGAGACACAAACACACACACATACACACAGAGAGTCTGGTCTGGTTGAGGTGAAGGGGTTTTTTCTGGACATTATGAGTTGAGGCTCCTGTGGGGCATCTGACTATATACGTTCAGAATACTGTTGGAAATTCAAATCTGAACTGCAGAAGGGAGCAGGGGACATTTTAGGAAGATGGAAGACAGATCACATTCTCCATTCTCCCCCTCTCACCTCTGGAAATAGCAAAAGCAAATAGAAAGTAAAATAAATCCAAATCAGTTGGGAAACAGAATGGGAGATGCTTAGGGACTAGAAATCATGAGAAATCTCTGAGGAAAAAAGATGCATTGGATCTAAGAAAATCACAGCCAGCCTAAAACTCGGGCAAAGAAAGGAATGGTTTTGAGGGAGCCTTAAGTACCAAACCTGCAGGTATGAAGACCAGGAGGAAATCTTGGGCATCAGGGTGGTTGGAGATATTATGGGAGTAGCCAAGTTGTTGGACAACTTTTTTCCAAAAAAGAATTTAAATACAAAAATATTCATGTAACGCAGTGAGATAAGATGCAAATAAATCGTTTTTTTTTTTTTTTTTTTTTTAAAGAAAAGAAAATAAGGATTAGAAAGTAAGGCTGCATGCAGTGGCTCACACCTGTAATTCCAGCACTTTGGAAGGCCAAAGTGGGTGGGTCACCTGAGGTCAGGAGTTTGAGACCAGCCTGGCCAAAACGGCAAAACTCCATTCCTGCTAAAAATACAAAAATTAGCTGGGTGTGGTGGTGCACACCTGTAGTCCCAGCTACTCAGGAGGCTGAGGCAGGATAATTACTTGAACCCGGGAGATGAAGACTTCACTGAGCTGAGATCCCACCACTGCACTCCAGCCTGGGCAACAGAGCAAGACTACATCTCAAAAAAAAAAAAGTAAGATGAAACTAGATGTGGAGTATATTAAAAATCATAGGCCGGGCGCAGTGGCTCAAGCCTGTAATCCCAGCACTTTGGGAGGCTGAGGCGCGTGGATCACGAGGTCAAGAGATCGAGACCATCCTGGTCAACATGGTGAAACCCTGTCTCTACTAAAAATACAAAAAAAAAAAAATTAGCTGGGCATGGTGGTGCATGCCTGTAATCCCAGCTACTCCCGAGGCTGAGGCAGGAGAATTGCCTGAACCCAGGAGACGGAGGTTGCGGTGAGCCGAGATCATGCCATTGCACTCCAGCTTGGGTAACAAGAGTGAAACTCAGTCTCAAAAAAAAAAAAAAAAAAAAAAAAATCATGCCATGTTTTGCTACAAACTTTCAACCAAAAACAAGGAAACAATTATATAACTGACAGCATCCAAAGATGCTGCTTGCAATCTGATTTACACAAGCCTAGTCTGGAATTCTGTTCACGTTCAGAGCAGCCATGGGGTTAGATGTGTGAACAAAGTGAAGCACCAGGTACAGCATATCTGCTTGGTGCCAGCTGCTATATTGGTTTTCTAATTTAATATTCATAACACTTGGACCTGTTTTGGTATCAAAGCAGTGGGCTTCACATTGCCTTTTATTTCTCCTCAGAGTAAGATGGCTCTATATACTTCACTCTCTGCCAAGTATTCATCCATGCAAAATGAAGGTTGACTCTCTGTGTGTCAATAATCTGTAAAGACATCTTCCAGCAGATTTGAATCAAATGACAGTATCTAGAATTATTGATAGTTACAGTCATTCTTTAAGACTATAGTAAACTCTTTTGAGCTTGCTGTTGAGCAAGGTTCAATATCACTGCTTCTTATGAAAGGTTGTTTGGCCCCACACAAAGCCTGCTAGGGTCACCAGGAATCCCATGTCAAAAGTTTTGCAATCATTGTAACTGCTTGGCCATAGGATGCTGTCCACAGGTGCTCTGTGAGGATATACAGCTTGTAGGGAAGAGTCAGTGTTACTGTAAATGGGTCCAACCCTTGAGTCAATTCATCTGAAAGCTCAAATGTACATTTTAGGGTAAATCTATTCAGAATTTATCAAGAATTATGTGTGCACTGAAATAGGAAGGCAGTGTAATTTGGGTTCTGTATCTTTCAAGTAAAATTCTCTTACCTTCCCAGATATCCCATAATCTAATCGATATGCTAATGTATTTCTTTTCTTTTTGGCTAGCTAATGGGTTCTTTGCAAATATGAATCCCAATGATATAATATCTGTAGAGGAGGAAGAGGGAAGGGTATGAGGTTCAAGTTGACATTAATGTGGAATTAAATACTAGCTAAAATGTGTATAGATGACTAGAATTACATATTGTCACCCTAGTATTAGTCTTCACTACTGTGTTTTTTTTCTCCCAAATTTAGATGTAAAACACTTCAGAGACAAAGACTTCATCTTCTCATCAGAGTGTGACATTTAAGAATGTGGGCTCTGCCAACAGACTACCTGATTTGAATACTGGCCTCACCATTTTTTAGCTGGGTGCCCCTGGTCAAGGTGATTAATTTCTCTGTGTTTCAGTTTCTTTGTTGGTAGAATGGGAATAATATTTGCTTTACCTTATAAGCATTGTTCAGCTTCAATGACATAATATCCACAAAGGGCTTAACACAGTCTGCAATGGGATAAGCACTTTAATAAAGATTAGCTATTATTATTATTATATCACAACCCTATAGAACTTATTATAACAATGGCAGGTGGTCAACATGAACGAATGAGTGAAAGAGTGAATAGGAATCACCTCCAATCCTATAGTATTTTATTAACTGATGGAACACACCCACCTGACCCTCTAAACTTGGTCTTCCCTGAAGATGTTTTCCTGCTCATTGTTGGAGCAATAATGAGCATAGACACATTCCACACTGTCAGCCTGCTTTAGCATCCTCTAGCCTTCTGACACAACTCATCTCGAGCTACAATGAGTGCCAGCTTCATTTATATATCCTTCTTCCCAAATCTCCTCCATATCTGATTTCACATGGAAAGAATCACAGGCAGAGTGTTTATGTAAGTCTCCATGGCAACAATCCATTCTCTGGTCTCCACGGTGACACTTGCAAACACTTATAACCTCTCAAATTCATTTTGTTTATTTGAAATGTCTACTGATTTGATTTATCAGCCTAAGCCATGCATAACAACACAAATCTACTTTGTTCCAAGCATAAAAGGAAAGAGATAGAAGAAATAATATTTAGGTCATGTTTTATATGGGAAACCAAAGCCAGCACTTTTATATCATTCCTTAAATATATAAGGAAGATGTAATTAGTACTTAAACATATATACAAATTGTCTTTTAACAGTAGAAAACTAGATTCTGAGTGAAAAAATAAAGATGTGTGAAACAAACATTACTGAATTAGTAATTGGAAGATCTGAAATCTAGACCTAATTTTAAGAAATCCAATCTTTCCAAGACTGAAGATTTTCTTGGCAGATGAGACTGTAACTGCTAAAACCAGGACAGACCTGGGGAAATCGAGATGATTGGTCACCCTGGTGTGCAAACAGGAAACAGTCAGCTGATACCTCTGTTCTCATCTTCCTCATGTCATTGAGGTATTAAAGAAAATCATTGCTAATCGCCAATCACATCCAGCCACAGGAACACGGTGATTCGCAGCATCCTCATATCTGTTAACAGGTCAAAATGCAGATCTTTGTGAAGACCCCGACTAGCAAGACCATCACCCTGGAGGTGGAGCCTAGTGACACCATCTAAAATGTGAAGGCCAAGACCCAGGATGAGGGAGGCATCCCCCGCGAACAGCAGAGGCTCATTTTTGCAGGCAAGCAGCCAAAAGATGGCTGCACTCTTTCTGACCACAACATCCAGAAAGAGTCGACCCTGCACCTAGTACTGCGTCTGAGAGGTGGTATGCAGATCTTTGTGAAGACCCTGACCGGCAAGACCATCACCCTGGAAGTGGAGCCCAGTGACACCATCGAAAATGTGAAGGCCAAAATCCAGGATAAGGAAGGCATCCCCACCTACCAGCAGAGGCTCATCTTTGCAGGCAAGCAGCTGAAAGATGGCTGCATTCTTTCTGACTACAACATCCAGAAAGATTCAACCCTGCACCTGGTCCTGTGTCTGAGGGGTGGCTGTTAATCCTCCAGTCTTGCATTTGCAGTGCCCAGTGATGGCAATACTCTGCACTATAGCTATTTACCCCTACTTAAGTTTAGAAATGACAAGTTTCAGTAATAGCTGAACCTGTTCAAAATGTTAATAAAGGTTTTTGTTGCATGGAAAAAAAGAAAAGGAAGAAAGGAATGAAGGAAAGAAAGAAAGAAAGAAAATCATTGCTGTGGTTCCTTTCAGATCTAATGTTTTGGCATTTTCCCCAGGAGCATCCTAGTTCACTGTGAGAATAGTGTGTCATACTTCCCAAATACAAATGCATGTTAGAAGCAGAAGTACATTTCTTTTAGAGCTGAGTCAAATAACTTGCCAAGTCGTGAACTCTAGCCAACTGACTTAAACATACACATTCTTCTTCATTGTTCCCCAACATTTTCATCAAATAAGGTCAATTTTTTTGATGGTGGGGAGAGGGAGTTAAGAGAAAATTGCATTTCTTTTTCAGAAACATTGTGTCATGTACGGCACGTCATCCTGCCATTGCAAAACAACTTTATCCACCATGAAGAAACTAACTGACATGTAGACTTTTTCACCTTCCTAATTCTGCAAGATAAATGATACTTCTCAAAGAAGATATCAACATGCTTCTTTGTTCCATAGCAAATAAAAAACCAGCATGCCAAAACTGTAAGGAGTTATTCCAAACAATTCTCATTTAAAAAATTTTCACATAACTGGAGAGTTTGCATGCTATTCAGGAGTGTGGGAGATCAGTTGGACTGAGCAGAGATGTTTTGAACAGAGCAATGTATTGGTTTTTCCATTTCAGTTCACAGCATTTGTATGTCCCCTGGAACAATTTCCACTTGAAGAAAAATAATTGCTTTTGTAGAAAGGGTATGCACATGATTATTTTTGTTCTCTGAAATGCATGGTCGCTTTATAAAGAGATGCTTTATTCTTCATAGATAATTCTTCTGCAACTTGGTGACTCTGATGCAAAATCATTTTTGATATCCTTGGGTATGTATTGCTGGTTTATCTACTTGTCTGCCCATATGTCATTATCTAGCTAACTAGCTATTTATCTTCATAGCAATTCTTTAAAAAGCATTGTGGGCTGGGCACAGTGGCTCACGCCTGTAATCCCAGCACTTTGGGAGGCCGAGGTGGTGGATCACGAGGTCTGGAGATCGAGACCATCTTGGTCAACTTGGTGAAACCCCATCTCTACTAAAAAATACAAAAAATTAGCTGGGCATGGCGGCGCGTGCCTGTAATCCCAGCTACTCCGGAGGCTGAGGTAGGAGAATTGCCTGAACCCAAGAGGTCAAGATCGCGCCATTGCACTCCAGCCTGGGTAACAAGAGCGAAACTCTGTCTCAAAAAAAAAAAGCATTGTGGCACACTAAATTTAACAAGCATATAGAGAAAGTCTAAAGGAAAAAACCCTTAAATATAGGATATTTATTAGAAATCTTTTGGACTTATCTATGTTTATTTATTTCAATTATATTTTCCCTAAAACTTTTAGAAACTTAAATTTTACTGTTTTTCTTTGCTATGAAATTAATCAATTCCTTATTCATTTCTATAGCAGAATGAAGTCCTTTGCCACCTTCAATGTCCTTGTTTCTCCTCACTATTGCCCTAGAAGGGAAGGGATGTCTTTTGGAACAATCATACTTTGCAATTGTATTATATTATAAGTGATCAATATTAGCAAAAAAGAGGTATGTTTACCTTATAGGGTGCTGCACACTGAAGAATTTAAGGATCCATCTTTGTTTGTTGAACTAGAGGCAGGTAGAGGTCTTAATCACAAGGAGCAGCACTGATGCCCTGAAGAAAGGACAGAGAGTGGCAAAGGGAAAAAGAGCTCTCAGTGTGCATTCCTGGTGAATTCATTTTAGTCTGAAGGTCACCTTCAAATGAATAATAAAAAACATTTGAGCCATTCTCTAAACCCCATGCATACTTATTATCTCTTATGCATAAATTTGTGCTTTTCTTGCAAGGGATTATGCCTTCCAAAATAGGGGGCAGGCGCATTAGTGAACTGTAGATGAATGGGCCATGCCAAGGGAGGTAAGCCAATATCACTCTACTGCTACAGAAAAAATCATGTTCAGACCCAGCCTGAGCTGTTGGGCCTCTTGTTATGTCCTCTTAAGAGAGAAAAGCCAAGGGGGCAGAGGTGATTAAGCACTGAAAATTGTGGTGTAGGGCTATCAGGTGAGAGAATAGATCAAGTCTTGGTAGAAATCTAGAAGAATGCTTTAAGACAGCTTATCAGTGGTTCCACCTGAGATTTCCTTCAGACAATGTTGGAGGAATGGGGACTTCAGATTCTTATTTCGATCCAATACAGAATTTAAAAAAGGGTGAATTCGTCTCAGGCAGGGAAAGTGTACAAGTGGAACACTTGTACTCATTGCCAGAGTCTCTCCAGGAGCAGAGAAGAAGAGGAAGAAATGTTCTGGCTTTTCTCTCTCTCTTGCTCTCTGGTATCCAACCCGTTTACTGAATCTTGCTGCAAGGCAGAAGGCAAGGGAGCCTGGGAAACATCATTTCCTAAAATGCATAGTGGAACTGAAAAGGGCAGGAGTGAGTCTAGGAGAAAACAGAAATATTACCAGCACTGAGGCTAAAATAAATTAGGAGTTGCTTTTTCTCTCACAGAAAAGATGTCTGAAAGTAAGATATCAGATGCGAATACTGTGGCTCCAAGATAGCACCAGGAACCCAAACCTCTCTCTCGTTCTGCTTTACCATTCACAGTGTGTGGCTGCCATTGTCAAGATCACTTTATGATCCAAAATGACTGCTGTTGTGTCATTTATCACACTCACCTTTCAAGCAGGAAACAGGCTAGATGGACAGGACAAAAAGAGCTTTCCATAGACATTCTTCTTCATTGTTCCCCAACATTTTCATACCCAGGACTACCAACTTATGCCTAATTAGCTATTCCTGTTGACAAACTCAGCTTAAAAGTGTTACTTTTCAGCTGGGCAAATTGTCCTGGGTTTTTCATTTTTGAAGCACTCCCATCATTCCTCTGCTTTTAAGAAAGGAGAAGAGGCCGGGCGCGGTGGCTCAAGCCTGTAATCCCAGCACTTTGGGAGGCCGAGGCGGGTGGATCACGAGGTCAAGAGATCGAGACCATCCTGGTCAACATGGTGAAACCCCGTCTCTACTAAAAATTACAAAAAATTAGCTGGGCATGGTGGCGCGTGCCTGTAATCCCAGCTACTCAGGAGGCTGAGGCAGGAGAATTGCCTGAACCCAGGGGGCGGAGGTTGCGGTGAGCCGAGATTGCGCCATTGCACTCCAGCCTGGGTAACAAGAGCGAAACTCCGTCTCAAAAAAGAAAGGAGAAGATTGGGTACTGAGCAAACCACAGGCAATCTCTACCACAGAAAAAGTAAAAGATTGACATTTAAGAAATAGCACTGGCTGTGCACAGTGGCTCATGCCTGTAATTCCAGCACTTTGGGAGGACGTGGTGGACAGATCACCTGAGACCAGAAGTTTGAGAACAGTCTGGGAAATGTGGAGAAATGCTGTTCCTAGTAAAAAAACAAAAATTAGCTGGGCATGGTGGCGCACACCTGAAATCCCAGCTGCTCAGGAGGCTGAGGCATGAGAATCGCTTGAACCCAGGAGATGGAGGTTGCAGCAAGCCGAGATTGCGCTACTGCACTCCAGCCTGGGTCTGGGCAATAGAGACTATCTCAATCAAACAAACAGAAGAGAAAATAGCACAGACACAACGGAGTGGCTGGGAGCATCTCAGACACAGGCATAAGTCTCATAATACAGTGGGAACCAAAGCTGGAGTGCTGGGTTAGGGTTCAGGGTTATAATTTTATATAGCTTTATTTCAATTTGAGTAGAAACCTGCAGAAATGATTAAACTTTGAGTATAGTTTCAACCAACTACATGTAAGTTGGGTTATCTCTGTAGTAATAGAATACCCTTCCAGAGATTTGGATGCTTAAAAAAATCATTCATTCAGTCATTCATTCACTTATTAGAAATAATAAGCAAATACTTGGACAGGCACTGCATTAGGTGCTGGATAAAAGGGTGAATAAACAGCCATGCCTGCCCTCCTCAAACTTACACACATTTTTGCAGGCTCCTTAACCTCTGGCCCAGCATTCATAAATGAATAACCTGTGAACCACATATTTAAAATTTGTTTCTCCTACATAGTGCAGTAGGAAAAAATATTTAAGCTAACTGATAGCAATTATGGGCTGGATTGTGCCTCTAAAAATATGTTTTGAAGTCCTTAACCCCCAATATCTCAGAATGTGATCTTATTAAGAAATAGGGCAGGTGTAGGTATAGTTAGTTACGACGAGGTCATACAGGAGCACGGAGGGCCTTTAATCCAACGTGACTGATATTCTTGTAAACAGAAGAGAAGAGGCACTGACACCTACACATACAACAGAAAAATACTCTGTGACAGCCAAGGCACAGATTGGACTCATGCAGCTGCAAGCTGAGGAATGGCAAGGACTGTTGACCACTGCCAGAAGCTAGGAGAAGGCAAGAAAGGATTCTATCCAGAGTCCTAGAGAAAGCACGGTCCTGCTGACATCTTGATGTGGGGCTTCTAGCCGCTAGAATGGCGAAAGAATAAATGTCTGTTATTTTAAGCTGCCCAGTTTGTGGTACTTTGTTATGGCAACCCTAGGAAACTAACAAGCTAAGATTTTTAAAAAACTCAGGACTTTTTCTATGAGACTTTCATTTTCTCTTGGAATAGAGTAGATCTGGCAAGACTGGACACAAATTTTACATGGCAACGGTGGTGGAGCTGAGTAATTACCATCTTCTCCAGAGGTGGCACTTGACTGGCTTACTTTTCTGTGGCTCTTATAGGAATTGTATTTATACCCAGCTGCCTTTAGCTAAATTGTCTTCTGGTCACAGTCTTCCTTAATGTTCTTGACTGGTGACTTCTGTGCTGTCAGAGGGTAACTGATTTATCCAAATCTCAGTGGAGATTTCCCTGCCCATCCTAGGCAATGGCGTCAGTCCTGCACTCTTTCCACTTTGTATTTCCTCATAGAACCCCTACTTCTATTTACTTTAACATCTGTGTTTTTTAATTGTTTGTCTCCTCTTGCTAGAATATAAACTCCCCAAGGGTAGATTATGTGTTTGTTCTGTTCACTGTGGTAGCTCCAGTGCCTACAGCAGTGGCTTGCTCGTGAATAAAGAAGCTAGGCAAAAACTGAGATATACGTCAGAAATCCACTAATGCAATTCCCACTAACCAGGTTGGGAGATAGAGAACATGACTTAGCAAAGGTCATACAACCAATGAGTAGCTGAATGAGTAATAATCAGAACCCGAGAATGAGTGATAATCGGGGTTCAAAAGAGTGATAAGCAGATTTTCTGTGCCCAAGTCTCATGATTTCTGTGTTCTGTGGTTTCAGGCTGCCTCCCTGCTCATGTAGTCATTGTGCTTGGATCTTAAGTACAGAAATATC